GTCCCCGGCTGGTAGTGGTTAAAATCCTTTTTTTTGGCAGATAAATTTACTTTTTGAAGACCACAGTGTTGAGATTATGCTGTCCAGACAGCAAATGGGAAAAGCAATCTTTGACTGCATCCTGCAAGTCTTAGAGTGGGTCTTTTTCTCATCAGTCACATGATGTAGCAAGATCATTCCAAGCTCTCCATTTTGCTGTCATTCAGTTTGTCAGGATGATCAACACAGGCGCAATTTAGGTTAAAATAATAAATGCTGAAAGGTATGAATTTAACATAGTTCTGGTGACTTGTGTCTCATTTTGTCAAGTAAGGTCACAATTTTGAAATTTGTTTGTCAGCCTAGTTTGATTTCTAAGGACTGCACAACTTTGGGCTTTTTCTGATCTTCAGGATTTTTCTTTCTTTTTCTGATCTATTTCAAAGTCCAACATCTAAAAAGGATACTCACCTAATTCACACTGCTCTCCAGTGTAACCAGCAACACACAAGCAGGTGTAGCCATTTAGAATATCGGTGCAAGATCCACCATTCTGACATGGGTTGCTAGCACACTCATTAATTACTACAGGAAAAAAGGAAAAATCAAGCCACAAATTTAACAATGGATAAGATATTATTGAAGTATCTATAGTTATTCTAATGTTAGAATAAAGACCAGGAAAATGGCTGTTGGCTTTGGCCATTACCAACATCCATTTTCCTGACTGAATGACAGGGTTAGGTTTAAGACCAACCAAGCACATATTTATTCCCATCTGTAAATACCTTTTGAGTCAGTAACTCAAATCATACTAAAAAATGTATAAATTTCCAATAATTCTGTTGAACAGTTCATTTCCTCTGGCCATACTCTGTATGTGCCTCTTGCAAGTAGTTGCAAACGATCTCCTTATATGGAGATTAGGGTGCATGTGGCGCAAATTAAGCAAGGTAGCAAAGAACGTGATAAGATGGTGTAGTGTACATTTAGGACTCTCAAAATGTGGACATGTAGGTAGCATTGTAGAAACCAAAGAGAAGATTGTGAATGCTCAACCAACACAAGAGAAAAAGAGCCAGATTTCCTAGTCTAACTTTCAGGTAATACCTCAAAAGTGTTTTTATAAGCAGCCAATACTTGATCAAGCATTCAAGACTGGCCATGACCAATAGCAATAAATAGTATTACACTAATATTCACTGACATGAAATCAAGCACAAACATAATTTTGTGCAAATAAATGTCACATTTTTCTAATTACAAACACACATTAGTAAACTTATCTAAGATCAGTGATAAACATTAGTGAGTCAGCCCCTCACCTGTAACCTTGTCGCAAGCATTATCAAAGGCATCCTAAAACCACACATGTATCAGATGATTTGAACTTTAAAGTTTTGCCTAGGTCTTGTGTTTTAAATAAACCATAGTGTCTTATTGTAAACTACTAGTCTCTTGATATTTTGCTCAACGGGAGACTTTGAAGGATCTTGGAATTGTTGTCTTACGTGTCTCACAGCGAGTGCCTCCATAGCCAGGCTCACACTCACAGACAAACTGGTCTCTGTCATTGAGACAGGTTCCATTGTTGAGACATGGATTACTGGCACACTCATTGACATCTAAAAAAGATTAGATAGAAACAAAACACAGATTACAAGGTCAAGTAAATGCAAGGTCAAGGAAATGGATGCTAGGGGACAATGATTTCTTTTGGCTTTGGATTTCTTTTACGAAACAAAATTTGGGGATATATTTCACATTTAAAAACCTCTCAAAAATTTGTCTGAGCATGAAATTCTTTTTTTCCCATATTCTTGGAAAATTGGTAACCTTTAGTTGTAACACTCCCCAAACAAAACAACTTCGAGAAGGAAACATTCCTAGTTTGGGGGCTTTTATTCATCTAGATCTACTAGATCTACTAAAACTCAAGGAATGGGTTGGAATTATACGGCCATTTTTAGGAAAAGAAACTAAAAGAAAATGACATTAATTATGACTGACTTACCAAGCTCACACATTGTCCCTTGCCATCCAGAGAGACACAGGCAAGTCCATCGGTTCAAGTGGTTGTTGCATGTGGCACCATTCAAACAAGGTGTACTGGCACACTCATTGATTTCTGTCCCCCAAAAAAACACAGCATTACTAAGAGTGTCATTTTTATATTGGCTCAACAAATTCAAAATAAATTTAGATGAAATGTGGAGAATTCCATGTTGATGATTATGTCTAGGATAAGAGTAACCCCACAGTGGCCATTGATGGTATGTGCCAAAGTAACTTTAAAACTACATTTACACAGTTTTAGGTTCCTGAGTTTTTGGAATGGACAGAAAGCATACCGCTTAATGATATCTTATCTGTGAGGGACGGCAAAATGATGACAGAATAGATCATAAGCAAAATATTTACTGGAAATGTTGAAACATACAATACAATACACTATTACCGTAGAACACCACTATAATGAATACCGCTATACCGAACATCTGCCTTGGCGCCTGAATTTTCTGTGCACTTTTATGGAACATTAAATTTGTTAAAAGAATACAATAATCATATTTTAGAACTGATACTAACTCAAAAATGAGGAAAATCACGCTGACAATGGAAAAACGGCCAACATGGGGTACAGTCGTATCGTTCGTGGGTAACCTACATCATATGCTATGTGTGTGTGTCAACAGGCAGCCATGTAGACTGGCTGACGAGTATGTGTATGCAACATTGCCGACTCTGGTATAGAATCCTTACATGATGATTGCTAAAAAGCTGGGAGGTTTGAACTAAAAAAACCTCAAAACAGGAAATAAATGACTGTGCAAGAGTCGCCAGTGTTGCATACACGTACTCGTCAGCCAGTCTTCATGGCTGCCTGTTGACACATGCACATATCATTTGTTACATGACTAGCAGAAATCTTTAATATATATCTTGCTAGTTTCGATTGTTTTCAAAAATGCTTTCCTGACATTCCGTTGCCAACTTCAGACGTGCACATAATTGTGCCTCCAGTGCTACTGTATTTAAATAGTTCCCGGCCCATTTATTTAAGTGTCATTTCAGATAACCATGCCTACATGCCACATGCTATTATTGAGCAATGACTTGAGGAAAACTTTCAATTGGCGATTCTACTTCAAGGGTGGACTACATGAAAGGTGAAACATGAACAAGATTTACATACAAACAACATGCAGGAATTTCACTAATCTTTTATTTTCACCTTTTCTGCATGTAAAGTCTGGCCCAAAATCCTAAAAAGAAACGTTTTTGTGGGGCAGGCCGACACCCGTTTGAATCTGTGTAAACAACCTCGTTTTGGTGGACCTGCACAGTATTGATAAAGCAGTATCTTTGCTTCTGCAAGTGCAGCCTCACTTTGGTTCCAAGGTGGCAAAACTGGGTAAAAACCAATCGTACTACCACACTCACCCATTTCACAGTTGATCCCGCCATATCCCGCTCTGCACATGCACACATAGCCATTGACTATGTCTGTGCACATACCCACGTTCAAACAGGGAGAGCTTGCGCACTCATTAATATCTGCCAGAACAGTCAAAAGAACACAGTGATGTAAAGAAAACATGGCGTCATCATGCTTTAGGTCTACTGGACTTGTGATATGACTTGAAAGCATGTCCTACATTGTTACTAACTAAACTTTTACAAGATGGCAAGTTTGTTGGTAGAAACTATTCATACTTTTGTCTGATGTGCAATGGGTGAGACCGGAGGAAACTGAAAAATCTACAAAATAATAACCAGAGGTTTGGAGGGCCCCTCAGAAACATGAGGTATGTGGTATACATTAGTGTTTGCCTAAATAGGCACCCCTTAAAACCCACTGCTTATGTTCTATATGTTACATATGCTATCTGTTCTTCTGTTATAATAAATTATAACAATGTAATGCTAAACTTTAGTTTTTTAGATTTTAAAACAGCCCGTTTGAAAAATCTTGAAGTCGGGAAAATCCTGATAGAATTTCCTAAAATCAGGAAAAATCCTGAAAAATTTCAGCCCAGGTGAAAATGATTACATGTTTCACCTTGGGTAGAGGGCTAACGATCCTGGTTTAATTTAATTTAATTTTTTTTGTTGCGTTCACACATGACACATGTCAAGCAATCTTCTTTGGACCTCTGACCCTCGACAACCATATACAAAAAAAGTACAAAGACGTCTGGGTCTACACTCACCTGTCTGGCATTCCTCGCCTGAATAGCCTGGCAAACAGTCACATGCATAGTTATTCTGCAGGTTTCGGCACGTGCCATTGTTCAAACACGGTGAGGAGTCACACTCATTAATATCTTCACAAAGGAGCAGAAAACAAAGCAAAATTAGGCGAATTGTCACGAGTATTGAAAAATGAACAAATGACTGAGTTTTTAGAGTTGGCCGTTTATGAGGTGTATTGACAATTCAAGGGGACTTACCAATGGAACAATGATCTCCTATCCAGCCTGGTGCACAGCTGCAGATGTAGCTATTCACACCATCAATACAGGTACCACCATTAAAGCAGGGACGGCTGGAACACTCATTGGAGTCTGTAACATTACAGGCAGAGCAATTTAGATAGTAATCTCCATTATAAACCCTTACTTATCGTTCATGTACCACTACGGAGGTTTTGGGGAACATTTCTGCTTGGTTGATAGAAGTTGAGCACAAATGCTATCACTTTTCATGGGGCTTCACACCACTCAAAGGTTAACATACACAAGGAATGTGTAATTAGTTTTTGGCACAGTAGGGGATTTTGGAGGTCTCCATAAAGTTGGGTTCAGGGTGCTACATTTTGCTCCTCATTTCAGCAATTCAGAAGATGTCTTCAAAAAATCAAGAGATTTCAAGTTAGTGGAATTAAACTCTGTCGTGTTGCTTTCAAACAAAGTGCTCTCATTCTCACTGTCCCTGGACTTTTGACTACATTGATTCACTCAGTGTTTAAGTCTTATCTGAGTGATACAATGAAAAATAAATGCTTATTTGAATATTAATTTGTCTTGATAGATCATGAGCTTTCTACTGAGACACTGCATAATAATCTGTATAGCAGGTAACATGTATCTGTTTCCAATTTTGAATTAGAAGCAGTCTGCTTATAAATCCCCTGATTACATATGAAGTACACAATAACCAGATAAACTGGACTGCAATGCACAACATTAAAAGTGGTCTTGTGAAATAACATGACATGGGCTGGTTACTGACTATTAATTAATGATTATCTCTAATATAACCTGATTGCATGTGCGGCCTGGTCAGTGCGTTCACGCATTATGCGTCACTGTCGCATGCGCACAGGCCAGAGTCTCATGTAAACAGCACGAACATGCTTGGTCGCGCTAGTGCCCTCTTGTGATTGGGCGCATAAAGTTGTTTTTGCTATGCTACACGCTGTATTTGTTCTTTCTAATGGGGTACCCTTTAAATGTTATGATCGAATGTTTTGTTCTTTGGTCTCAGTTAAAAACAATCCAAGAGGTATAAATAACTACTTTAGATTACAGATAGTCAGTTTGTTTGTTTTTGAGTTCGGGTCGTAGTAGTTAATGTACTTTACTCTGAACCAATCGGACCTGTGTAGAATAAACCAGTAACAAATTGTGTAGATCCGTGTGATCGTCCTTTTATAATTTGTGCCTTCTTCTTGCAACGGACAAACCCACCACAGCACTTTCATTTACTCGGAATATAATTTCTTTTAATGACTTGATAACTAAAGGAAATCCATTTGAGAGACTTTTCCAGAGGACAACAGAGACATGAAAGTGGGAATTTTTCGTCTGTACCTCATGAAGGAACCATTTAAAGATAGCAAAACCACTTACCTATTTGACACAAGCCACCCACATAACCAGGGGGGCAGGTGCACGTAAACTGGTTCTGTCCGTTATTGCATGTTGCACTATTTTGGCAAGGATTACTGTTACATTCATTGAAATCTACAGGAAGAAGATGTTTGACATACATGGAAGGTTATTCAATGAGTTTGTCCAGGAAAAAAAAAATAGCTTCCAAATGCTACAATCAAAGAATGGAACCACAGCTTGTTGTTTGGCATGTAGACTACAATGTGATGTACACTAAAAGACAATGCAGTGATGCATTGCAACATCAACTGAATTAGGAAGTGATCCAAGTTGTGCAAACTTGTCAAACTGTGGATTCAGCATTATTTTTTTATATATATATAGATGTAAACTTTACTTTCTAAACTTTAAAAATTGTGCTAGAGTTTTAAAAGAAATTTTTCCCTTGCCTCTTAAAAGTGGAAACTTTTTAAAAAGTGCCACACACACAGGTATTCCAGACATTCCAGGATTTGAAACATTCCCTTAATAGAAGACTTACCCAGTTCACAGTTGGTGCCAATCCTTCCACTAGGACAAATACACTGGTATCGATTATTCTGGTTCAAACATGTTGCACCACTTTGACAGGGCTGATTGAAACACTCATCGATATCTGACCACAAAGAAATTGAGACAAGTATAAATTGAAACGTTGGGGTAACTGAGAACAGACACCCTACACAAACATGCACATGTTTAAAACAACTTCAAAACAACTTCAATCATAGACTTCTTACTGTTCATACTTATATATTTTGAGAAGGGTTCCCGTCAAATTGTCTCAGTTTTCCCATAGTGGACACTACTATGGACCCTACTTCCCCTGCTGTTCAAAGTGCACAAGTGAATGTGGAAACATACTTGTGTACTACAAACTCAGGCGGGAAACGCTGTTTTCAAAATACTCCCATTTGAACCAGAGTTACATTCCTGGGTTGAAAATTTAATCGAATATCCCTTTAAAATATTTAAATTTGCTATACAAAACTACACGTTAAAACTTCCATCTTTATGAGTTATTTCCAAAAACCAATTGTGTGAAATCCTTGTGGAGACCTTTATACATTTAGAATTTTCCTGTGGAGAATCGTTTGTCTTGGGACTCCACAAGGTACCATATTTCTACACAGGCATAGTTATTCCTGGTTAGTTTGGAAGCATGTGTATTCCTCTGGTGTGTGTGAATGAGAACAAAGCATTGTCTCCACAAGGACACAAATTCTGGAATGTACATATTGCTGCATGGCCAGGGACTGAAAATAGGTAGGAGTGTATCTTGTATGAGAATGGAATTCTGTCCTCACCTGAAGCACATGTGTCACCAGTCCATCCTGGAGCACAGGTGCAGTTGAAGAAAGCTTCATAGTTGTTGCAGGTGGCTCCATTTCGGCATGGGTTACTGGCACACTCGTTGATGTCTGAAAACAACAAAACGTGTGATGTGCATACACTTACTGAGACAAAGTCTCAAAGCATGCGGAAGCATCATTTGTATGTAGCTATTGTTAGTTGGTCCTTCCAAGAAGGTAACATGTGCTCTGTTTAAATCTTCAGGAGTATTTTTTCATTTTTAATTGTGAACTGTATAAATTACGTTTCTATACAGAAATTCTCATTATTCACAGGAAAAAGTGTGGGCATACATGTACCACAATAAAAAGCAGCCATTCAGGCTTTTCCACATTTCTAAATTTGAGATAAAAATCATGTGCAAAACATGCACATGCTACATAAAATAAAAAGTAAAAGCATGCACAAAGTCAAGGAGATTTACAAAAAATGAAAAAGCCTCCAAAAACTCACAGGATTACATCTTCATGAGGTTACTACAAGGAACACAAGCTTTATGAATGTCCTTATAATGATGTCAATGTGACATCTACTTCAACCATTACATAACCTTAATAGTGTCTTTGAGTGGATGCCCGTCATAAGACCACAATGGTACTCAAATATCCACTATATATTTCCTCATTGTCAGAGATAAGAGGATATTTCTGTATAAAGTCCACGGTGTGTATGGCACAAAGGAAAAGGGTACACCACATACCAATGTCACACATGACACCTCGCCAACCAGGGTTGCAGTCACACGTGAATCTGTTGACCTGCTGCGTGCAGGCACCATTGATACATGGATTGCTCAGACATTCATCAATATCTGTCAAAAAAAGGCACTGATTCACAATCCGATTGGAAGCTTGAAAAAATGGCTAAATGGACAACAAACAGTGTGCAGCAATTTCAAAATAATCTGAACAGATGCCGGTGCTGTACAGCACTACACTCATACTCCTGTTCCTAATCTTGAGTAGCCTGTACTTAGGCAAGTCTCAATTTCAATCAGTCAAAGAGATATTGAATGCGTGAATCACCTGAATACTTGCAGGGTGCAACTACAGTACATGTAATGGCCTCTGCAAGATTAGGCTAAACCGTGGAAATAGCTTTAAAAAAAAAAAAAGTAGACTTGAAAAGAATTGGGCTATAAACACTCAAAATTTTGATCAGTTTGCTCTCGTTATCATCAGAAGAAAATGCAACCATGTGGTCGATTTAGTGTCAAATTCTCATTTCAATTTTTGTGACTAAGCATGGGCAGCCAATTGTACATCTTTATGTAAAAACTCCTTCAAACCAGATTTTGCATATTTAGAAAGCAAACGTATGCACATTTGATTGGTTGAAAAGTTGAAGATGAATTGCTGCAGTAATATAATACTCTCTAAATGACCGAGTACCCACAAGCTTGCATTCCTCTCCAGAAGAAGTTTTGATATTCTGAAAGAAGACTGAAAAAGAATACAGAGCCCTCCAAATCCGGCATCACATAATCCACTGTGCTAGTCCTGGCATTATTGTTTAAGAAGTAGAAGACAATTTCTAAAATTCTGAACTTGGGAATAAGCACTTTTTACTACAGTACAAAGACTCTATAACAGACATTACTGGGTCTGCATAAAGTGTTCAGTATAGCAGTCATTTGGCACAGCAATTCCAAGTTCCTATTGTACACCGGTACTCAATTCTGGCTCTTTAAAGTTAAACATAACTGATGAAATTTGTGAATAATGTTCAGTTGTGTTCATTTCCTTTCATATTTCACCTTTGAGTTTTTCTCACTGAAACTCAAATCATGAAATGAAATCAGGTCTTAAGAGTTTTCCTTGAGTCATCACTTGAAACGTGCATGTGACACGCAGTAAGGATACACTGGTTCCTGTAGCTAACTTTAAACAATAATAGATGGGTCTGAAACTATTCTATGGCAATGAGGCCATAATAATAAAAGTTCTAAGTTGCACTCAGTCAGTAAAATGAGAAATGATTGAATGATTGATTGATTGGTTGGTTGGTTGGTTGGTTGGTTGGTTGGTTGGTTGGTTGGTTGGTTGGTTGGTTGGTTGGTTGGAGGTAAAACCTTGCCTTTGTAAAGCAGAGTCACCTATGTTGCATGCACATACTCAGTGGTCCATCTGCACTGTCGCACGTGCAAGCACATATATATATATATACATGTACCCAAAAAAGATCCAAACAACGCCGGGTGTTTCTTTTCAATATTTAAAGCAATATTCAAAGTTTGGTTGAAGTGCACAGAAAATATGAGAGCCAAGGGTGATATTCAGTACACCAGATTATTTGGAAAAACAGTTTTCCATGCAAAGATGCTTGTACCGTATTTATCATGAACAAAAGGTTTGTTGGAGCTTAAAATGGCCAACATGAAGGAGCAGAATTTCATTTTGTGTTCAATTCTCATAAAATTGTGACTGGTATTCTTAATACAAGACTGCTATGGGCAATTTAATATTTCCATTTCTTACCAATTTCACAATGAGTTCCCTGAAAGCCTGGTAGGCAGTCACACTGGTAACCGTTGATAAGGTCTATACAGTTACCACTGTTCTGACAAGGGGTGCTAGCACATTCGATGATGTCTAAAAAAGTGGGTGGGAAAAAAAAGACACATTCTTAACTATCCAGTACAGTGTGTGTCAACATGACTTCAATGCATGCAGCCAACGGCAATTTTTTCAAAGCTCAGCTCTGTGCCTGGCTTTATGATTATCAGGTCTCTGACTGAGAGATTCTGGCTCAGAAGAGCTCCATTTTAATGTTGCAGAAATATTAGAATGTCAAATATGAAACAAGATTCAGAGACTTTCCATGGGAATCAATATTAAGAGTTTACAGTTTAAAGTAAAAAACCAAGCCAAAGCAAGAGACAAAGTAGAGAGGCATTTTAGGAATAGCCATAGTCAACCTATTTTGTTGATGAGTTACATGCCAATTAGAACTTTATTTAACATACTCTGATTGCAACGGGTCCCTTCCCAGCCTGGGGCACAGACACATGTGTACTGGTTCAGCCCATTCTGGCATGTTCCTCCATTATCACAAGGGTTGCTGAGACACTCATTAATGTCTGCAAGAAAGAGTACACGTAGAACACAAAATTAAAACATAAAGACATAGGCCATGAGGACGGGTACCCCACAGTGGAGTACTGACTGAAACATAGCTGTGAGCATAGGTAACGTCATTTCAGGTATGCAGTTATTACACATCTGGATGTCACAGTCACTGGACCAATTTGAATGATGGGGCATGTGAAAAAATTGCAGACAGACCGAAGCTGGGATAAAAAATACTGACCAATCTTTCTTCAAACTTGCAAAGTGCTGAAGATATGAAAATGAGTGGAGGTGGGCAGGGAGGAGCCTGGTGAAATGAAGGGAGCTTGATGCAATCTGCCATTGAGGGTGCTGTTCAAGATTATCTGGGCTGGACAGTTTTATGAATTTGCTGCCATTTACAATTCTGCCAACAAAAATGCTTAATAGGTGTGCTACCCCCACATCCTTTCTTGCCAAATCCTTGCATGTGAACGCTCACATGTACTGCTAATTGGCCCCCACTTTTAAGCAGGCTCCCCCCTCCATTCCAAACCTGAATACAGATGACCAGAAACCAGCATACATGTACTTAATTTTTTTCTGTTTAAAAGCTTTGTTGTGTTCCAGATCCTTCTTGTAGTGACTTTCTGTGGACTAAAGCTGGTGACTGCAGTTAAAAGCCAGTGCTACTGCCATGGTACTGAGCTCACTAACAGATCTCACGATCTCTCTTGGGCCAAAAGAGTATTGTGACGTGATAAAAAGCACCAGGTGCCATCGCAGTAACAGTGTCTCTGCATATGTCTGACCCTAGACACTCATGTTGCAACTTCAAGTGATCTACTAATTCAACTTCTGTAGCACTGACTTGATCCTCATCCACCTCAACACTCACCCAGGTTGCAATTGGTTCCCTCCCATCCAGGTACACAGGTACAGCGATACTGGTTGCGTTCATTTGTGCAAGTCCCACCATTCTGGCAAGGGTTGGAAGTACATTCATCAACATCTGCAAAGAATTATAAGAATAAAATTGTGACAAACATTAAAATGAAGGAACAAATAACTACAGGTTAACACACATACACGGTAAAAGGCTTCAATGAGAGACAGTCCTCATTCAGAAACAAGATCTTTATGTAAATCCTCATCCTAAAAGTGGCATTCAAGTAAAATAATCTGAAGTCAAACTTTACCAGTTTCGCATCGCGTTCCTGTCCAGCCTGAAGAACAGGTACAGGAAAAGCTGTTCTCCAAGTTGTTGCAGGTTCCCGAATTGAAACATGGTGCTGAGTTACATTCATTGATGTCTGCAAAGTCAACCACAGTAAGTAACTTCAATACTTGGATTTTACACATGACATACGCTATTCTTGGGTATGTCCAAAATACACACTCACACATGTATGCAACTTGGAATTAAAACAAAAAATTACAACATTCAAAATGCACAAGATTTTCTTGTGTTTTTCAATAGAGTACTAAAGTGTGATGTCACTGTGAACCAGAAAGTGCAGTGCAAACAAGGAGTACGCGTGCATGTTGGTTCACGCGCTAATGCCTTTTACACACTAATTGTGAGCGTGACATATTCACTTTGGTACTCTATTCTTGAATGGCTCAGAGTAGCATGGTGGGACTATGATATGATGCATTCTAAGACAAGTCTGGTACTGACAAAGCATTTCATCTTTACAATTTTACCAGCTGAATCATAAAAATAGCACCAACAATCCTGACAGAGGAAATTAACAGTACAATGTCACAGCTACATGGTTATCTTACAATTACGGTCATGCCCTCAGCAGAACAGAGTGCAACTCCATGTGAAAGACATTTAAGCAGACTACCCTTTGCCTCCAATGAGCCATCACATTTTCTTATGCAATATACCATATACCATCAATTTGTATGCATTAACTTGAAAATAATTCTTACACACTCCAAATCTTGTGGAAGAGCCAATCAATGCATGTATACAATGTGTCTTCAATCAAATCTCCTGTTTATATGGTCTACTGTACCTGCAAGGTGATCAACGACTGTCTGACAATTTTCCTAAACCTGCCACAACAGTGTTGGAAATTGTTAATCGACTTAAGAACTTGTTTGGGAATCCCCTTGAATATCTACTCACCGATATCACAATTGACTCCTCTCCAGCCCCCAGTGCATTCACAAAGGTAGCGGTTGAATTGGTTGCGGCAATTGGCACCATTCTGGCATGGGCTACTAGCACACTCATTCACATCTGTAGTGAAAGAGTATGGGGAAATAGGGGTGAAGAAACATAAACCTGTCACCCGTAAACTTCTGACAGTTACACAGGTTATTTCAGTCCCTGCTTAGGACTGTAATCAAAGGAGTTATGTCGAGGTTAGGAATTAAGATTTACAGAAACTGCCATTAGTCATAGCAATGAAGGTTTTGTTTTGCCTTACCACAAAGAAGTTTATCACATTTGCATTTAATACACAATTAGTTTACGACAACACAAACAAGACAAGTCCCTTACAAGCAGTTTGCAACAAGTGACTCTTTATCTATTTTCATCCTCCCCATTTTGCATTCCTTAACTATTTTCAACATCCTCACTTTGCTTTTAATTTGATTTGCTTTGCTTTGAATTTAAACTACTGAGGTCATCACCTGCAGTTCTCCTTTGTGTGCTTTGTAGTTAAAAAAGACATTTTTCCAAATAGAAATAGAGTCCCAGAACTAGCAACTGTTTGATTGCAAAGTTAATTGTCTGTATTCTGTGACAAAACAAGACTAACATTGCATATGCCATATGTCACCAGGAGAGAGACTGTTGCTTCATTAAAGAAAAACCCTCTCTTGTGTGACTACGATGTACCCGTACTCACCGTCTGAGCATGTGTCGCCTTGCCAGCCTGGTCGGCATATGCATGTGTAACCATTAATTCCATCCACGCAATTCCCACTATTACGGCATGGGAAACTGAGACACTCATTAATATCTGACAGAAAAAAGAAGATAACAATTGCCTGAACTTTTGAGAAAAAAGTGCCTTTGAGTAACAGAAATGGTTTTGCATTTGTTACAACTGTATTATGCAGGATTACTCATTCCCACTTTTCCACAATAAACATTTCTTACAATAAGTCTACATGTGTTTAAAGGGAGGTTACACCATTGTTTTTTTTTGCTGCAAATTCACAAGATTGGCTGTTTCATGGGTAAGAGATTTACTACAGCTTTCATCCCAAATTGAGTTGTTTCATGTTTGAGCTTACATCAGCATTCTTAGTGGTTAAATCAAAAATCCATGAACTACAGGGCATTCTGAGTGAGCAAATAATGTACACGCAAGGTTTGTCTGCAGATGAACAGGCATGGCATGACAGGTGTTCTAGCTTTTTAAAAAGAACACTTCTCCACAGCCAATCATATATGTACCCTGGAGCGATATGCCTCTTTGACAATGGAGCACCGTAGATTAATGGAAAAACTTCATTGAGCAGTGAAGTTACTACAGTCAATTCATGACTCATGTCCATGACATGATGAGTATGTGCATGTGCATGCACGATTACGCATCGTGACTACACTTTCGCATCAGTTTACACATTCAATGGAAGTCTAAAATCCATTTTGGGTTGACTAACTAAAAAAATGGCCAAAGAGGAATTGTATCTGGAAACATGGGAGGTTTAACATCTGGAATTTGCAGTTCTTGTTGATGAAAATCCTCACGCTGTGCAACTCGGAAATGGCAGCCATCTTAGCCATACAATTTGAACCATACCATTATGCTTCAGGGGTAATAGTGAGATCACAACATTTTTGCATTAAGAAAATCCCTTTTGTAGATAAAATGTAACTTTTAACTGATCCAAGTTCTCTTTTGCTTTACACCTTACACTTTTTTACTAATGTTTCAGTTTCAATGCCTTTTGTTAATTTCCAGTAGTGTGTTTGTTCCTGCATTTAGTATTAACCATTTGTAATGCCACCTACAACATCTGTACACACACACACAAATTGGTGCCTGTTATCGGATATGGTATTTAAAACTAAACAAATTTGAAATGATTATCGGCTCACCATCATGAAAAAATGAGAGAACAAAATGTCTATTTTCTCAAAAACGACAGCATTCTTGGTGTAAATAATTTACACACTGACTGAGGCTATTATTTACTTTCAAGTAAGAATTTCAAGGACTATTCGGTAGTACCATTTTTGTGAATTTACCAATGGTGTCATCTAGCTTTAAAAATATGAAAGTGAAGAAAAATTTGTTGACAAACACAAGTGCCCCATCAAGCCCAAGCCTTAAACCCACGATTTAAATAGTGATTACTAAAAATGATGCCCTTGACCTTTGACCTATGTAATCCAAAATCAATAGGTTTTCTAAAAGACACCAAGACCAACCCACATACCAAGTTTTAAGTTGATGTGTCAAATTTATCCTAAAACTGATGGCAGACACATGCAGGATATGGCAAATCCTCCACAACAGTAGTGTAGGAGCGTCTGATAAGGAATGCCTATCCAAACAGTCACTACTTTAAAAATTTTGCTATTCGCTAAAAACTTGATTAACTGTAGCGCTATGATGCAGCATGGTGCCGCTGCCATGTTCATCCTTCTTCAGAGTGAACGATCTGAGCCAGAGTAGGGAGGACGGGCAGGCGCTGACTGTTTAGGTATTACCAAGCAGACTTTCCCACACTACTGTGGGGGAGGAGTCCACTGCACTCATCCTACCAAAAAAGTCACTACTTCAGCAGTGTTGCACTGTTCCCTCAAGGAAGGTTGGCAAAGATGCACTGAATGTGAGAAAAAGTGTGATAATGTCTAGAATGTTTTAAAGAAACAAGGAAAAAGGGTGTGTGTTGAGGACTCACTAAAAGGAGCAGGAAGCCATCAGATAGATCTGGAGGTGACCCATCCTGGCGAGGGTCCTCAAAGTCTCGGTGCAGAGGATAGGACTGTCTTTCCATGGGAAAAGTCTCTTTGCAAGAGGTTGCTCGGGTAGCATGAGGTGAATGTTGAGACTATTTTCCAGCATGCTTCCCTTCAGATATCATCCGTTTGGGATGCCACCGATGAATGCCTTCAACTTAGATACCACCCTAATGTCATGAGCTGTGATAGGGCAGCCAGGTTTTATCATCTGACGAGGTCAGCCATTTGGAATTGGCAAACTTGATGACCGAAACAACCCACCTAGCCAAAGTGTCTCCCTGCTTGCTGGCCGAGAGACTGGACCTCTCAGTTTTGAGTCCTGGCCAAACACCATTTGAGAATTCGAACAGACTGGCATAGCTTATCATTAGCAGAACCTGAGTGCTTTGTGATGTTAGGGCCGCAGCTGTCTTGTGGGTGGAATGATTCAAATTGGATCTTCGTGTTGGGGATATGTGTTGCCTTCAGGTCAATCCTGGAGTCCAACACCCACAGTAATATCTGCCTTGTCAGGAGGCTGAGGCATGGGGAGTGCGTGTCTCCTTGGTGATGTGTACTGACCCTGTTGAGTTGTCTGATCGAATCAGGGCAGGTTTGCCTTGATGGCTGTACATAAGTGATGTATTGTATTGAAGGCTGCCTGGAGTTTCAGAATGTTGATGTAACTTCCCAATAACTGAGGCACCAATCTCCCTAAGACCTGGAAGGGGATGGATCGTTAGGAATCGTCACTTGTGGGTCCATCTTTGGGAAAGAGAGGTTGCCATTCAAATGGTTCTGTATCAGCTGCCAGCAAATGTGTGACCAGATGAAGTCCATTATGAGAACTGGGAGGTCAATCAAGTCACATTGGGCCACAGAAATGACAGCAGGTGGAACTAGAGGGGCCTCCTATGAAGACGGCGAAGACGTACCAGGTCCACCATGCTCGTCATCGGGCCGAAGATGTGTTGTGTTGGTGTGATGGAGCCCCAGAGGAGGTTGAGAACTGCACCTAGGTAAATTGGAGTATGGGTAGGGACAGGTCTCGATTTTTGGTGGTTGATGAAGTCGAAAGTAAGGCCAGTGTAAGCTGCAGCCTTGTCCAAAAAACTGCCTACGATGAGTCAGCTGTCGAGATATTTAACTGTCGGAATGAGTAACTGGTGTAGGAAGGTGGCAACAACATTTTGCCATTTGGGTTAAGACCCCTTGGACGTCGATAAACTGAATAGCAGGCCGAAACTCAAAGGTTCTTCTGTTGAACATGAATCAAAGAACTTGCAGTCCCATGGTTGGACGGAGATGTGAAAGTGATATGATATACGATATATGTGATGTGACGTGACGTGCCGTGATGTGATGTCGATTTTCAGATCCACCAAGGATACCCATCTTAAAATTGGCAAGGGTTGAATTGAATTACTGTTAAGTGTTCAGGAACTCCCCATGCAGAACTTTCTGGGACGGACAAACCACCTTTTCGGGGAGAGGGTGGGTTTTATGTTATATATGTCTCCAATGCTTGCAATTGATCTTTTTGGAAGGGATTGGAGATAGATGAAGAATTGGTTGGACGCAGGGGCATTCATGAATTGAGGAATAGCCAAAACAAATCTAAGAACCCATCTGTCGGACGTGGTTTTGGCAGAATCTTGCACGGAACTGTAGGTGGCTCTCGTCACAATGCCTTCTGCATTGTTTGCGTGAGCTAAGGAGAGGGCAGTGCAGAACTTGACTGGTGCATGGGGAGACAAAAGGATAACTTGATAATTTTGAACACACCAAAAATGACAGGTCCGTAGCAATGGCACCAAGAAAAAGAAGAAAACGAACGTGGTGGTGGCGTTACGCTGCATCGTTGTGCTAGACTATAGTTGATCAAGTTTTTAGCGATTGGCAAAAAGCGTGAAATGAAATTTGCTTAAGTAGTGACTGTTTGGGTAGGATGAGCGCAGTGGACTGCAGTACTAAAATGTATTTGTAATAGTACAAATATTTATTGGCTGCAATATCATACTAGCTGCAGACCAGTTCCCAGATGCAGGTTGGCCTTTTCAAGTACTCTTCCTTTTTTTAGTCAATATTCACTTGCATTTTTTGTAAACTTTTATGCTGTCAATGTTTTTATAGACTGTACAAATGAATTAATTTTTTTTGCAGTGCAATTATTATATTTTAAAGCAATTTCTTGTTTAATAAGCCTTTTGCGAGTTAACTTTGACACAAATCTGATACACCGAGTTCTTTAAATTCATGTGAGCATAACAACTTGAATTCTCCTTACTAAAACCACTATTACTATACCTTGTGATGCGGGGCAAGCTTTTTCTGAGTTACATAAGAGATGCCTTACAACAATATACTGTTCTCAAAGGATAAGAAGGGCACAAAGGAACCAGCCCAGTCCATAGATGGTGGTCGCTATGTGAAAGCTTGCCCCGAATCACAAGGTATAGCAACAGTGTCTTTAGTCTGGGGAATTCAGATTGTTGTGTTTATGTGCAGTCAGATAACTCAGTGCACTAGATTTTATTCAAATTTAATTCACAAATGGCTTATTGGCTGTCGTGGTCGAATAACATTGATTTTCCAAATCAAATCAAACATGTTCTACCACTGCAAGGAGAAACTGATTTAAGGTTAAGCTATTTAAGGTTCAAATCATTTGTCTCACTTGTCTGGCAGCGAGGGTCTGTGAATCCTTGGACACAAGTACAGGTGTAGCCATTAACAATGTCCATACAAGTCGCCCCATTAGCACAAGGGTTGCTCAAGCATTCATCAATATCTGGGGGAAAAGCATGAACATCATTTTGTAATCCAAAAGTTTTAAAATCTAACTCATGACTCATGAGTTGAAGCTAGCATATCAAAAAAAAAGCAGGGATTACCAGGAAACTACATGGGACTGTGAATTTTGGAAAGTACAATTTCCCTTTTACCATAGAATAATCATGACCAGATCTGACAAAATGAGGCACAAGGCCATTTCTTTAAAAGTTTGTTCTAGTTTGCATTAACCCCTTGACGACGGGAACTTTTTTCTGAAAGCTGACTCCAAGAATTCCAGTCTCGCTTGGCCAGGATGGCCACCTGCCAAACCGCAAATTCTTGGTTTGTGGCCCTGCATGCTCTGCACGCTTTGAATTACATGGTG